TATATATTCATATTCATATGTGGTTAAACTTTTTTACTTATGTTTTTTTTTAGTAATAACAATCATCTCTTTAGGTCAATGACACAAGTATTGGATTGAGAGTTTGCAGGAAAAATAGAAAAATAACAAACAAGATGCCACAACGTGTTAAAAGTGTGTCTAATGAAAACAAAACACAAATCAAGGAAGAAGCTTCCACGTCGTCCGTTCTTTCTGAGAATATCGGTGATGATGACCCAAATGTAGCTGAAGTACGAAACAAAAAACCTTAAAAATAATGAAATTATTTATATAAATATTTAGCTATTATATAAATTCACAAATTAGATATTAAAAAACAAAATAAAATACATTTGATAATTACAAGATGAATATTATTTTAAATAAAAATCATGTTTTATTCCTGATAATCAAATATTTAAATGTGATCTCTTATTTTAAAATATAATTAAACATTTACATAATCGATTCATAATTTTATTTTATATCTTTAATTTAATTTGCAAGAAACTGAAATCAATACTTTGAAATATTGATTAATATTTCAAATATCAAATAAATAATAATAACTTAATTTTTCAACAATTTAAAATTAAAAAAAAATTTGTATCATAGGTTGTATTATCAAACAAAGGAGGACCGAAATTAATTCATCATGGCTATATGTATACACTGCACAAAAAGCAACCATATAATATCCGATGGAGATGCGTCGGCAGAACTATGCATTGTAGAGGCAGTCTTATCACAACTACGAGTTGCACGAAGCCAAGGGTGCGTATGGAACACAATCATAAACCAGATTTTGCGGCTGCTCAAGTTGCCAGGAAACGTTACTTGGCTCTTGGTAAACCTTGTGTGCTAACGAGTAAGTTTACTTGTTAATATATACTTGTCGATGACGATTTAATTGTTTAATATATTACTATCTTAATATATTACTAAAGTAATTAGCTAAAAAACACGTTTAAAAAGATGTTCTTATCATATAATATTATAAACTGTTTTTTTATAGATATTGAAGGAAATACTGACAATTCCATAAACGTGCCGCAACGAGTAGTTCATATAGAAAATGATTTACCAGAGGAGAAAAAAGAGAGGAGACCGAAGACCCGAGCCACGTCTAGAAAAAGTAAGTGTTTTGAAGTTTTATATTTTTAATAATTAAAATTTACATATATAAATATTAGGAATGTAATTGAATAGAATATATAATTTTTCAATGAAATCTTTTTACTTATTGCATTCATATTTCTTTCATATAATAACTAAAAAATTGATTATAAGTTTTATTATAATGATTATTAATAAAATTTAAATGAATCTCCAGAAGATTAGTAATAAATAATTAATTTCTAAGTAAAAACAAAATCTATTACAATACTCACATTAAATTATCTATATTGATTTATATTGATCTTAAAATAAAAATTATTTTTATATGAAAAGCATGTATAATTATTGCATTTATAAAAATTATAATTTTAAATTAGTATTAAAATTTTTTACTTAAATAATTACGTTAAAAATATATGATAAATTCTTTTCGTTAAGTTAACATTACCCATAATTATATATATTTATTTTAATTAAAAGTTTAAAAATTATTTGTTATGTAAACTAATATATTCAAACATATGTAAACATAAGGCAATTAGCAAGATATTTCACTTGTATGTATATTGTTCCAACATGGCGGGCATCTTAAAGATGCGCGCGAAAAAAAGAGAGCCGTAGAAGCGGCTCCCGATCGATGAGAATTCGCTCGGTGAGGCTCGAGTGAGTCGAACGTGATCAGGTCGGTTAGTAATTCCTTAGCGAAGAGAGACCCGGGAACGCGCACACGATAGCAACACGAAACACGGTACGGATAATATGCGTCGACGACCGGCGGCGCCGTCGCACATGCGCGCCCTGACGCGCCCCTGTTCGTCCACCGATTTCGATTTTAGTCACTCCCGGGTTCGGCTTCGGGGAAAATCGTTTCGCTTCCGTAGAGAGCCACATTGTCGAGACGCGTCGTGAAAAAAACTTGCACGGAACTTAGTAACGATTCTGTCGATCAAGTAGATACAAACGCGTCCCTCACGAGCTACATATATTCTTATATTCGACGATCTTCCGTTCGAGTACATATTTGTACATTAAAAGAGTACCATAAAAGAAAAGGAACAGAATTTTTTGGCGATTTTTTTTCTTTGTGTAGTCGTTGGCTACGGATGATCATATCCAATACCGATTTAATCATTAGACATTTACACGGCAACGAGATTAGACACGCCGAGAATAACGCGATAGAAAACCAGTGTTGATCTGATCGAAAAAGAATCGAGAACACGGTGAAAGAAATTGAACAATTTGTAGTGTAGTTTGAATATCACTCCTGGGAATCGTGCAAGGGTCAATAAATTGTCGCGTGGTCGTTGGTACAACGGTTTCTGACGCGATACAACACAAAATTGAACCGGTTCGTAGTCGCGAATCGAATGACCGGATTGGATTAAGTGACGCTGCGACAGATGACAAAAAAGAGAGGAACAAAGACACAAGGAAAAAAAGCACAGAGGTACGGTAGACGTAGCAGTGGCGTGTGCCACTCGATATCGTGCTCAGTCGCAACGGTTGCCATTTTATAGCCGGTCGCTCAAGAGAGATCTTCGGGGAGGCAAGAAGGAGAGGGAGAACTAAGTAAGAACAAAAGAGCGAGTAAGAGAATGCGAAAAAGATAGAAGGAGCAAGGGAGAAAGGGAAAGAAAAGCAAAGTGAGAAAGATCGAAGGAACGTAATGAGACAGCAAACGTCGTTTGGTGGTGGTGAAAGGGAGGGGAGATTAGAAGCAGGAAAGGGAGGGGAGAAGAGAAGGAATAAAAGGAACTTTGTAGATAGAACTTCCGTAGATGTTTTTAGATTGTTTTCAATTATACGCATAGTTTTATAAAATGAAATTTAAAAATTTAAATTTTTTACGGTTGATCGTTTGTTTTACGTTACAATGCAATATCGATCTAACCTGCGTAATATACGTGCTATACTATCAGACGTTCTCATCGGATAAATCGTTAATACGTATTATCCGTGTGTTGTCTGCTGAGTGATGACACAGTGTGCTAAAAGAAGTGGGAGTAATAAAGAGGTATTGAGAAACGAGAAAGATAGAATGTGGACGCACATATGTATTTTATCTACTCACTGTATGATTATCTTTAGCACTTTTTATAGTAATATTACATGCCAAAAAACTTATATGTATCATACTATTTAAATATATTTTTCCTTATGAGCATATGAAATCTTATATCCAGAATTATGAAATATATTTCTCGTCGATATATTGAAATTCAATTATAGTATTTATATCATTAGATAAATATATTATTAATTATATTAAATTTTTTCAAGATATTGTAAAATATATTATTTTGAATAATATTAATTCATTTAATTCATTAATATTATAAAAATTAAACGATAAAAAGATATTCTATATATCTATTTATTCGCATTCTCTTACAAAATTATTTCGCATAATTAAAAATTGTAATTTAATATCAAATTTCATCAATTTGATATTTAAAGAAAGTTATACAATGATGATAGTTCTCATCAATCGACAAATCTTGTCATAGATTTATTTACTAAATTTATTTATTAATTATAATTAAATTATAATTATTATTACAAATGTTTTTGAATTTATTCAAAAATTAGAATTTTGATTGTTATTACAATAGTTCATCTTTTCTTCTTTATTCTTTTAAATTGTTCTTCTTGAAAAAAAGAAGTTAATTAGAATATCTTACTATATCGAGAAAGATGTTGCTCCACATAATTAATTCGTGAAACCATGTCCACACAAAAGGATGTTTTTCGTTAAGCGTTATCTTAGAATATCGCGTTTTCGCAGAGAAAACGCGCTGCGAAGTTGGCGTGGAGGTCAAATCGTAAGCAGCGCGACAAGAACGAAGACGACGGCTACAACGGCGGGTCGGCTTGTACTGGTGGCCTGTAAGGACACCGTGAAGCTGACTAGCCGCCAACTCCTGCAGGGACAGCAACCTGGTCGAAATTGCAACACATCGGTCACCACGTCTTCCAACGAGGATATCGTGGAGGCCATTCGGCTCGAGGATATCGCGATGAAGCAAGAACCTGAAGATGAAAAAGATTTTTATTTAGAGGCGGCTGAATTGCCATCTCTATCACCTTCGACTAATCGTCATGCAGGTGCTACACACCGTGTTCGTTCCCATACACGTAGCCTTCGTGCGATGACAAATCCAAGCGCAGTTTGGGCACATTTTGACCTATGTGCAAATGATCCTTTGCGAGCTCAATGTCGAATTTGCGGTGCGGTTGTTGTCAGAGGCGGAGCGAATCCACGTCAATGTGGTACAACGAATCTTCATCGACATCTTAGAGTACATCACGGTGGCAGACTCATTGGCAGTCATTATCATGGTAATGGTAGTTGGAGATATTTTATATGCTGGAAAAATGATGCTATGTGACTTGACAATTATTTAAAGTGTTAACAAATATTATTATATAAAGCTAAATATAAATTATAATTATATAAAATAAAATTAAGTTTTATGTTTGTACTTTTTTTTATAAATTAATATCGAAATCTATAATTAAAGTATTTTTCATTTTTTTAAATATCAAATAGTTGCACATACAGTTTTTAAAATATTTTTTTGATATCTTCTGGAGACTCATTTTGATAAATATAAAAAATAATAAATTATTTGTCTTTTTATAAAATATATTATGTTTATTTATGATTAGAATAATAAAAATGATTTTTTTTTTTCAGTATTACAATCACCTTCTTCAAGTAATTCAACTGGCAAAACTATAAGAATAGCAGCGCAGTCCTTGGTAAGATCTCATATTAGAAACATTGCACCAGCACCTATATCACAGCAGCAACAACAACAACGTCAACCAAAGACTCTTGTGTTAAAAACAATTCCCCTAAAAGTAAAGCAGGTTGCACCTACAACTATTAAAATGCCACCACGACAAACTAGTCAAGGAATACCTCATAATATTGTACATCAACAACCTACAGAGGTAATGAGCTTTTAAATAATGAGATATATAATATTTCTATATAGATTTTATAGCAGCTAAAATATACAATATGTTTTTCAGGTTTGTTTAAGATGGAACAGTTATCATAGTAATATGCAAAACAGTTTTCCATCTTTACTAGATTCTGAACAGTTTGTTGATGTTACATTGGCTTGCGAAGGCCGTTCGTTAAAGTGTCATAAAATGATATTGTCATCCTGTAGCGATTATCTCGCAGATTTATTACGAGAAAATCCGTGTCAACATCCAATTATTTTAATGAAAGATCTTAAATTTTGGGAAGTTGAAGCACTAGTCAAATTTATGTATCGCGGAGAAGTGAATGTAGCTCATGATAAACTGCCCCAACTATTGAATGCAGCTGAGGCATTACAAGTGAAAGGATTAGCTGGACCCAATCCTTCTTCACAGGTGAATAATGATTTTTTATTTTTTAAATAAACATAATTTTGTTAATCAAATTTTCATAAAATATATTTTTTTAATAGAATTCAAAACCACCTTTACTTATTCCACAATCAAAGCCAATAATATCTCAACCAGTTTCGCGAGTCGCTTCAGAGACCAAAGAAAAAGCTTCCACTTCCGGAGTTTCTACGCTTGCTAGTCCTAAACGTGCGCAAAAACGACAACATTCAGAACCAATTGAACCAAAACCCTTTACTAAAATACGTTTACAACGACCTGTTACACCTACATCACCAACTACTACAGTTAAACTTGAACCTTTAGATATTCCTCTCAGTCCTACAGAGATATTTCCTGAAAATAATGAAGACAGTTCAACTCCGTCGAACTTTGACAAACTTATGAGTTTACATGAAGAAGATGATCCAGGTGGTAATGAAACTATTGATGGTGAAAGAGAAATTAATTTCTGTGAGATACCTGAACCGCCCGATATAAATGATAGCGAAGATCAAATGGAATTCGTACCTACGGACTTTTTAGAACAGGAACAAGATATAGTCGAAGAAACTGAAATAGCCACGAACAAAGATTGCAAAGAAGAAACCAGAGAGGATAGTTCTGTTGAACTTGAAGTCGGCGAAGGAAATGGAGTGAAAAAAGAACAATGTTCAAAAGAAAAAAAACCAGTTTAGTAAGATAATCAGTGAATTCAGTACTTGGTTTGTTTATTAAAATAAGATCTATGTTTGATTTTTTTAAAATAGATTTTTAGAATCATCCAGTATTGCCATGAAATCTTTATTTTTTATTGAATATTGATTTCGATTATTTTCTTTTTTTTTCAGAATTAATACAAAAAATACATAATTATGAAATTATTAAAAATACATAATAATTATGTATATATTATTTTTATGATAATGTTTTACAAAATTTATCGTTACAATAGATTTCATAATTTGAAAATTCTATTTTATTTATATTTGATCAATTAAAATATAGTGTGAAGTTATATAATGATATATCATTTATTCTTAGAGTAATATGGCAAATATTTCATCTACATTGTAAATAGAACGTAAACGATAAAAAAGTAAAACTATTTTTACCACTTACTACATGAATCGTAGTGATACGATATATATCGGATATCTTTCGAATATTTTCTCCAAGTACACAGTTCAAAACTGATATTTCTATACAAAAAATAATGCCAGAAAATATGATTTAAGTAAAGATTACTAATTAATTGTATATAATTACAAAAGTACCTATAACTAATTTTAGTTTAATCGTACAATTAAAAATTTGAGTTTGACATTGACGTTTAATTATTACAACGTCTTTAATTATTATAATATCATATCTTTAATTATTACAATTTATTTGTTAAAAAAAACTCGATCTACACTTTTATATTATAATCTTGTAATTCAGATTAACTTCAGTAATCAAGTAGAAGTTAATCAATCATTTTAAATAATGCAATTTTTACTTTGAATCATTGTTGAAAATTTACAGATTACCTTTCTATTTCTATTACAAATATGCTAATAACATACAAAGAATGTTGCTTCTTTGATGAAAAGTTGTACCTGTTAACTTGAAAAGCGTTTGCAGTATAATCTAATGAAGAAACAGTACAACAAATTAATGTTTTTTTGTGTTTTATTTTTCTTTATGTTTATTCTATTCTTTTATTATATATATTGTATGTATGCATTATTTGAAATGGTATGTCTGATTTTACTAATAAATTAATAGAAAATCAATGCATTTATAATATATTAATCATAAAAAATTAATATTATATCAAATTGCAAAATTAACAAATTGATAACTCAATGTTATATTTTTTATTATTGTAATCTTTTTCTTAGATTTTTAAAAATTATGTATTTTTTTTTTTCAAAAAAAAATTATTATACCTGTATGTAAGCGTTATGTAAAAGTAACATTCTACGTATATGGTATATATTACATAGAAGCTAGAGGCAAAATTTTATTGTAAAAATCTATATCTATATGATTGGAAAGTATATGTACATTGTAACATGTGAAATTATGTCTTATAAATAAATTGCTATAATAGTACATAGCAAAATAATTTGTATTATCTCTTTTTTTTCTAAAAAATTTTTAATATTTTAATTATTTATTATGAATTGTAATAATATAATAAAAAAATGAAATATTTTTTTCTTAATTTTGCTTATGATATTTTTGTTATTATGTATATAATATATATAAGAGAAATTAAAAGTCATCATAATAAATAAGAGACATCATAACTATTATAATAAAAGACATTATATATTAAATGTGTATTATTTTTAAATGAAACATGAATATTAGAAATATTAAATTTCTTTTATATTTATTATAGGAATATAAACATAGTTTCTTTATGTTTCTCTATTATATGTATTTAAATTTTTGTTTTTAAATTATATTATTGAGACTATAACAATATAATTATATAATATTATAATTTTAAATATTGAAGCTCCAATTTCTTAAAAAATATATTTATATAATATTTATTTTTAAAGTTTTAAATTTTTAAGCTATAATATAATATATATATTTCTAAAATGATTTTACAAAGTAATTGATTCTATTTTATTTATTTGTAAAATAATTTCAATTACATACTGATTAATATTTATACAACAAATATTCCAGGGATTACAATATCAATATTAGTGTTTCGATATAAATTGAATTTTTACATTCATATTCTAATAGATTTTATAATATTTATATAAAAAAATATACATTTTAATTCATTATATAATGAAAATCATCTTATTCTATATAATAATTATTCCTTTTTGAGTTATATCGATATTAAAATTGTAATATTAGGATTGCTGATTTGATCCCAAAGTAGGTCGCAACTCGCAACCACGATGGCGCCACGTTATCTTTACCCCTCCCCTTACCGAACTGTCAAATCGAGGAACGTTGTTTGTATACGAAATTTTTATCAGTTTTCAGCCTCAAGTACAATCCGGAGACTTCGAACAAGTGAATAAGATCAGGTTCGTACCTGTGCCTATTTTCACAATGAATTATATCAATATTATTTTATGGAATCCTTCGATTACTGCAGATAAACGAAAATGTTAAGAGCTCGATGTGACCGGCGCTGCTACCACCTTTCTGTCAATTTCTTCTTGTCTCTTTCTCTTACATTTTTCTTAATAATTCTTGTTATTCAATTCTTGTTGTTCAATACAATTAAAAAAATTATTTCTTTTGTCATTTTGTATAAGATAAAAATATTAATGAAAATTCTTCATTGAATGCAATTTTGTTATAAATTGTGTGTTATTGGCCTTGCTTTATTTCTCTTAACCTATCTAGAAAGATAATTATTTAACTATGTTTAATTTGAACTTTTTAAATAAAATTTGATGTCAAATTTGACAATGTTAATATGCTATGTAATAAATTGAAATTGATTGATAAGCTTATGTTAGAACTTACAATTTTTATTTAATATATTATAATTATTTACAATTATTTTTTGTAAAATTTTTTTTATCCTATTTTTTCTGCTATGTAAATTTTATGATAAAATTGACTTTTGCTTAACAATAGAAATATTTTATGACATATTAATATTATCAACCTTTTTGTCAAGAATACTATTATTTTTATGAAATTATTAAATAAAATTTTTATTTTAACAAAATAAAATAATATTATTTTAAGAAAAATCAAATTTATTAATGAACTAATTATTTTAGAAAAATATAAATTTATAAATAGAATAATAAATAAATAGAAAAACAACAGATTAGATCTATATTTATATTTTTAATAGATGACTTTTAAATAAATATAAAAAATATATTTTATATTTAATAGATTATTATAAATTTTTTAGAATGAATCGTACAATGGATGAAAAAGAAGAATTAGTCAAAAAGTCTTTATTTAGTTTTGTGAGGAAAGAGGTACCCACTGCCCAATTAAGGTAAAAAAAAATAAATAAAAATGTTTTTTTATCTATAATTTGAAAAATTGTATGAAATCTATATATATAAATCTATATATATTTAATGTATGTTTGTAATTTATAAAGATATTATTTCTAGTTTAATAGATGATATTGTTTTGAGCTATGTGGTAAGTATGGTAGAAGAAAGTGCACTTGAAGAAGACTTGGATGTTGATGGATTATGTGAAATGGTTTCTGCTTGCCTTCCTGAGTTTTCTACCATTGAAAAAGAAGCAGTATCTAAATGGTTGTTAGATATTGAAAGCAAATTACGGCAAGAAACTAAAGAAAATGAAAATTGCCAACCTCAGGATCCTTTGAGTCATATTAGTTTAACAGCTTTATTACCTCCTGGTACACAAAGAATGAGAGTTCATCATCTCTCAGAAACAAGTGATGCTGGAAGTGATTCCAGTGGAGAATATTTTTCAGAAGTAAGCTCTATTTAATTTTTTCATAAATTAAATATATATTTTTTTAATTAAATTAGTTGCATCATATTTATTCATTTTTTTTCATAATTTAAAATGTGAAAAATTTAAATATTGAAATTTGAATTTTGAAAAATTTAGTTACGTGTAAAAAATTTTTATATTATTAATTTTCAAATAATACTATTTTACAACAATAAACTAATATTAGAATGAAATTTAGTATCAAAAAAGCTGACATGGTTATTTTTAGTTGTCATATCTTTTTTTATTTATATAACAAATTTTATTTATTGGTATATACTAAAATACTAAATAATAGTATATACTAAAATAAAATAAAATATAAATATATCACATATTAGGAATCATCTTGGCATCAAGTAGCACTTCTGCAAGAAATGTTTCCAGCTGCAAGTCCAGCAGAAGCTAGACATTGCTTAGCAGTTGCAGGTGGTGATATAGCAAAAGCAGCACAGCTTGCACTTCATAGACAAGAAGCAGGACAAAGTCTTGTTAGTAATCTTACTTTTTTAACAGTAAGTATTTAGTTTTGAATTTATTCCTAAGTATATATATATATATATATATACATATTTTAATCAAAAAATATATCATATATCTTACATGATCTTAGATAATTTACTATTAATTTAAAATATTGAATGCATATGTATTTTATACTACTAGTAAAGCAATTATATATTAAATGAAATAAAATAGCATAATTATCTTCTGTAGCCAAATGGTCGTAACAAGGCCAGAGTAAATGATGAGGAATTGAAATCACGTATCATCGCACGATATAGTTACGTTGATAGAGATGATGATTCACGTGAGCATCGTCCAGTTGCCCCGAAAACGGAACCAAAAAAATTAGTACGTTATTTAGATAACAAGATTGTAAGTGTGAAAGGTGAACGTTATACTGAAGTCAGAAGAGGTGGTGAAGAGGAAGATGGGAATGAAGGTGGTAGAAAAAGAGGTCATTGCCGACCGTAACCAGTCCCTTTGCCTCCACCCCCTGATCCACCCCCTTGGAGGCATCTAATTTCAAATTAAGCTTTCACTTACATTCTCTTGTATTGCTTAAAAAAGAGTACGGATAGGGCGTTGAATTTCTATATTTGTAGCACTATCCATTTTGTTCCTGCTTTCAGTTGATTTTGTCTCACAATCATCTTTCGCAATCATTTTTATCAATTTTAGAACTATCTTTTTTGTCCTTTTATGTGTGATATTATCCTTATTGTGATCTGACGCAAGAGATTTGTAGCATTTTAAAAAACCACGTGTATATATATATATATATATATATATGTATATATATATATACGATGTACCGTTTACGATATAGATCAATGAAAACTTTTCCCTAATGAGACATCGCTATTGTTATTATTATTATTGATATTAATATAATATAAAATCATTAATACTATTAATATTATTATTAATATTAATAATAATAATAATAACAATATATCACAGTTTAAGTACCTGTTAACGTATAATTAATTTACGTTTGAAACATTTTACTCTTCATTGAGTGTGATGGTCATTTTCTATTCTTTATTGAGTATAATAATCAATAAATTTTTAATTCAAAAAAATTTATATGATAACAAAATCATAAATAAATATAATGTAAATGAAAAAAGAAATTTTTTAATATTTTGTTATTTTTTTTAATTTGAAAGTTATATAATTTATATAAATTTATATAATTCATGAATTTTCTTATTGAATAAAAAATGACCACTGTAAACTCAATTATTAAACTTAAAACTCAATTTCTGCGATACAATGTCGAATTTTATTTTGCATTTTCAACAAATGCAAACTTTTTTTTTATTGTTAAAATAATAAGCACATTTTATTTATTAAACATGTTGTGTGTCTCATATTTCCAGTGAATATCGTACTATTGTTATATTAACTATTATTATTAAGTCCACAATGTGCTGATATTTTTTGAAATAGGCTAGGCTTGTATATTTTATAATGTTAACAGTAAGATTAATTTAGTTGATTGTTCCGAAACATTACTCAAATTGAGTGAAATCTCTTTCTTTTTCTCTTTCAATCTATCTCTATCTATCTCTCTATATCACTATGTATGTAATGAAACGTACGTAAGAATTATAAAATAAGTGAAACAATATCTGTGCAAGAAGTTTGGTTTCTTGCAAAAGCACTAAAATAAAATTATATATAATAAAAAAATTTAGGAATTTTTATGTGCACATTTACTCAAAAAAAATGAAAAATTTCAAATAAATAACTTCTAAGCATGCATAGTTATAATTATTGTCTATAATATAATCGAAATTCATTTAAAATTTAATATAATATTGTAAAAAGAAAAATATCCAAATTCTGTAATAGAAATAAACTGCGTATATGCTAAATTCTTTGATATCGCAGAGCAATTATAATCAAGTTGTAGATTTTAGATAATAAATTGTAGTATACGTATTAGGTACAAAAAAATATATATTGTATATATATTTATATATATATATGTATACTATACATTATATATTTATATATACATATATATACATTTATATTAAATACATAAGCGGGATGAAAAATTGTTTATCGCGCTATGTAATTTATTGGTATTACTATTGTTATTGCCATTATTGCAAACTTTA